TATAATATGGAATATATAAAAACCAGTTGTATGTTTACATTGTTTTATTATATATACATATATAAATTCATGTTAATGTTCTCTAAATTATAATTTTTACATCCTTCATGTGATGAAAAATAATATACAAAAAGTTATCTACACTTATGTAAATTTTTATTTTATATATGATTTATGTATGCTTGACAATAGTCAGCCAACATCAGAAAATTGAAAATAGAGAGGAAAGCCAGAAGAGACAGTAAAAATTAATGAATAAATTATCTTTTTATTGAAAGTTCACTGTCCCTATATATATATATATATATATATCTTCAGAACAATTATCATTTCTCATCTCATTTTTTTTTATTTCTAGTGAGATCTTGTTTAGCAGAGAAATGAAATCTTGTTAATCTTTTGCTTCTGTCCATTTGATTTTTCTTTCTTTTAAAGGGAAAGGCAATGCCATCATAAAATTTAAATAACTTACTATCATAAGTGATGCCAAAAGAATCCAAAGGATCTCCACTGACATTGTCAGCATTATAACAAGATGGATTCAATATGCTGAATATAGTCTGATACAAAGCCAAAATATTTTTTTAAATAAACATGCTAACTACTATTCCATAGCAATGCACCCATATTAATATTAAGCTTAACTTAGTCTGACACAAGGTTAGAAATGCAGGCCAACTAAAAAGGATTTAACTTCTTACAATAATAGTCTGCAAAAAGAATATGTTAATCTTTTTTGATGACAATGCAGTCATATTATTATTTAATGTTATGATTAGATTGGCACATGAAGCATCTAATGAGGATGAAACTCCCTCTAGTAGTAATTATCAAAATAAGATATATTAATACTTATAATTACTTCATGTCAATTTTTGTTTTTGGAACTGAAGCTTTAATTCATTTTTAATAATTTTAAAAAGAAACTAATGATTTATGAGTTTATAAGTCATTGACAAAGTAAACTTTAAAAATTTCACAAATGACTCTTGAAAAATATTTCTTTCTATTTATTATTTCGCCCTAATTAATTAACTTAATTCTATTATATTCTCTTTCTCTCTCTTTCTCTCTCTTCAGGACATATGCAATAATGCCTCTCCACAATTTCCTATCTTTTACTACTTTCAGCAATACTTGTCCCCTTAAAACCCTTTTATCTTCATTGTACTTGTTTTTCCATCCATTTGCTAAATTGTCAAGTAGATGACCTGCTGTGTTCCTCTACTTATTGCTTGATAGAGTTTTTTGGGTGAATAGGTTGTTTTTGTTATGGACATCAGTGGTCAAAATATTCTAGGGTCATCATTCACATCATAGCAGCAGAAATTAATTTGTGTTCACAAAGATAAAAGCACACTTGACAGGAAATAAAACATACAGAAATAACAGGAAAACTTAGTAAATTGTATTTTAATTCCACACAATTTATTTTTAGTTTTTGTGTGTATTGGTGTATGTATTTTTTAGCTTACAAGTGATAAAAGGGAGAAATTTACTCCGTAGTATTACAAGCCATATCACAGAGAGAAGTTACACATATGTTGCCCATACCAAGGTTCGAGGCGAAGAGATTGAATCTAATGTCTTTTGGTATTTCCAGCAGGAACAGTTTTTGTTGCATGCTGGGAGAGTTTTTATCATTTTTATTTTTAATAATGTCTGCAGATGTTTGATGTGCATAGATAGATAGATAGATAGATAGATGAACACACTGTAAGACAGATAGATATTAATTTTTTAAATTAATTGTATTTAATCAAAGTTTAAATATTATTGTTTTATTTTATTTTATTTATAATTTTCATTATTATTATTATTATTATTATTATTATTATTAACCTTTATTTATTTATAATAATAATAATATCCCTACAGTTTAAAATCGTTTATGTGCACTTGTAGGAGATGTTTTATTTTCCACTCTGAAGCCTCTTTCCCCATAGATGCAACCTCACAAGCCTGTCAGTATATCCCTGGCTTCATGGAGTTAAATCACCTATATTTTCTCCATATTCCAATTGTAAGGAGGAAGTTCCACTGAAACAGCTTCTTCTGAGAACTGATACTTTGCAGAAATGACTCCCACATGGATACTTCCCTGAACACTACAATCTTAATTACTTCAAGTCAAGAATCAATTGTTAACTATCCTCCTTATCATAATAATCTTCACTTCTTTCTACCTCCACTTATATTCATATCACACACCTCTTTCTATAACCCTCTAGAATGAGAGACTCTTGAGCTTTGTATTGGATGAACTTTAGCAAAAAACAAAACCAAACAAAAAAAAGTAATGAACATGATGACAGGTTGGTCCTGTGTGTTGTGGGTAAATACACTCAGAAAGATATTGTTTCCCAGGTCTACATTGTATGCATAAGTGAATATTACTTGCATGAAGGCTGAACTGAGCAGTACAGAGTGTTATTTTATCCTCCAGGTGATCCTCTTGTAACACCTCTGGAGTTGTGCATGACAATGGAGTCACATAAGTGGAAATCTGTCTAAAGGCATGTATATCTGTTGTTTCTACTGCAAATAAATACTTCCTAGTGGGGCTGTGTCAACACACCTGAGGCTACATCTGCTTGGATCTATACTCTGGATGCCACATGATTTGCCACTGCTATTCTTACAATATGTTGATCTTGAAGAGTGCCTGTATTATGTGGCTGGCCAAAATCTAATTGCTGGGTGTGAGACTACTCCTTTGACTACTGCTGTTAACATTGAAACATACATATCATATTCAAAATGCACAGCAATTCCACTAAATCACTATCCAGCCTCTAACATCTATCAAATGGTTTTAATTTCTGTTTTTAATCATTTCACACAAAGCACAGCAATGAAGACACTAAGACACAAGGAGTTAACAAGTGTGAAAGAATCTAAGAAAGAAACATTATTAAGGAGAGAAGCCAATAAAAGATGAGAAATTAAGGAAACAGAAGATACCAATATACCAATATACATTGCATTTAAATTTTTGAAGATCAAATTTGAGTGGGAAGCAAGACATCAAATTTTCTGAAGCAAGAATTGCAATAGAAGAAATTGTTAGCATAGAACTTACAGTTACATCTAGCAGCCATTTCAACAGTAAAATGATGAGACTTAGCTGCCAATCTAGTACTACCCTTAAATTCATAAAATTAAGATACCAAAGAGGAAAGCTCATGAGAACAATTATCATGAAAATATTTATAGAAAATTTACAGGGAAGCTACATTATGGCAGTGGGAAAATGACCGAAGCAGAAATGCCAGGCTAGGACCAATATCCACCAGACTAGATATTACCAGAATATTCCATGCAAGGATGAATAGTAGACATATAAATGTGAGAAAACTGTCTAGCACAACATAGTGAATTAATTTTCCAGACAGCAGACCTAGTAATTGATTCAATGTAAGCATTCCACTTAATGTCAGTGGAAAACATTAGCCCAAAAAGGTGCAATGAGTCACTGAGGTGCAATGAGGAGGTTAGTATCAGCCATGTTGATGTAAGGCAAAAAAATGTTCTCTAACATGATTAAAAGAGAGCAGTTTTGTTTTTTGGCCTTTATAATTAACAAAACATTTCTTAACAATAGATTTAAGGTCATTTTTAAGATCAGCTACCAAAATCTAACCTTATCAAACTGATCTAACTTACCATTAAGACAAGAGTAAATAGTTGTCTCATCAGCAGAGATACCAAGTTGAGAACTGATGACATTGGGGAGGTTGTTGATGAAAATTAGGAACAATGTAGGTCCAAGAAGACACTCACATTAACAAAAAAAGATCTACAATTATGACTATTCAAGAGACAGTTCATTTCATCATTTGATGAATAAGATTAAAACAAATAAAAAATTAGTCCAGAAATACCATAACCTTTATTTCTGAAGAAGACCAACATGCCAAATCCTGTCAAACACCTTCAAGATATCCAAAAAACCAACCTAAACTTCACCATTCTTATCTAAATCTTAACAGACTCTTTCAGCAATAACTGTTATCACAACAGCAGTTGATCTAGAGAAGTTAAAACCATATTGTTTGTCTGAAAGAAGACTCTATGAAGTGAGATGTTTAACCAATTTGGAGTTGATTAAAGCTTCTACAACTTTGCCAAAAAGAGGTAGAAGATTAATAGCATAGTAGAAGGTTCACCTGTTCTTAAAAACAGGAACTACAGAAGAGGATTTTCAACAAGTAGGAAAGCAAGAAGCAGTAAGACATTTATTGTAGAGTTTAGAGAGGAGTAAATTTCTTTCTGACTATTGCAAGTCTGCTTGCTTTGTAAGGATTCAGTTTTGATATGATGACAGAGAACATGGACAGAGTTATATGCATATCACTCAGCAGTGACTCACTTCTAAGTGGAAAGTCAGATGAGTCAAGAGTAGACTTGAAAGAAAATTTATGAGCAAAGCATTTTGCTTTATCAATAAAAAATGATAGCACCTCTGAGTGAAGAGAGGAGGGATTTGCCCTTATTTAGTACACTATTACAGAGTCACTAGTAGTTGCAAGAAATTTGTTAGAGGCTTTATAGTGCCTCATTCTATCAGTGAACAAAGACTTACCTCATTGAGTACATGTAGACACAAAAAAGCATCAAATCAGAACTATTAGAGTGGTACAGCCAGAAAAAAAGTTCTAAATATGAGCTGCAATTTGTAAAAAGTAATGCATTTTTTATTTATTAATCCAACATGTTTTATCACTTTAAATATTATTTTTAGTGGATACTCTCTTGTTTGAGTAGATGCTCCCATTTATTTATTAAACATTATATATATTTATTTTTTCCTAATAGTCTGAATATTCAAGAATTTAAATAAAAAAAAATATGTGCTCTCCAGCAGGATTTGAACTTGCATCCCCCTGAGCAGAGGGAACTAGCATAGATCCATGTACTTCACATGTTCTCCAATTTGCTTGGAAGATGACAGTAGATGACAGTATATAAGATTTTTATGCAGACAGATCTATACAGACTGGTTAGGATAGATAGATAGATAGATAGATAGATAGATAGATAGATAGATAGGCTGAGATAGACACATACATACATATAATAGATATAGAGATAGATGAGTGGTGTAATAGATAACAGCTCGTAATGATAAATTGGGGAGCCATGTTAAGATTCAAGTTGGTTTTCTTACATTCAGTTATGCACAAATACCCTTACCAGAGGTATAAATCCCATCTATGGTTTGAATAGGAAGACAGACTGGACCCTTGATTAGCAATCAATCTACTGGAGAAAGAAATGGAGCCTACTAATAACTATTCACTTATTAGCTGAACTTTAATCCAAAAATTTCACTATATAAAATTTTGTTTATATAATTAATATCCATTACTGAATTCATTACTTAATTAAGTACATTGACAAGAAAGCGGACTATTATCAAAATTAATATTTTTGCATAAAATAAGTGTATTTTTTACTATTAGTCTGCAGATGTTTGATGTGCATAGATAGATAGATAGATAGATAGATAGATAGATAGATAGATGAACACACTGTAAGATAGATAAATATTAAACAAATTAAAAGGATAGGGATTTACTAAGCAAAGCACAAGGCCAAAATTATGACACACCTAGTGAGGATGAAACTCAGTACTCAGTAGTAATTGATATGGTGAGACAAGCTTGCTAACCATAACACTACATCAAAAGGTTCATGGTAATTAAAAGGATAGATTTTAAATTTTACATTCAGAACTGGCAGCTGATATTAAGGATATTGTCAATACTGTGTGAAAAATATAAATAGAAGAATTCATTTTCTTTATTCATTATTTAACACATTTACTGCTACCATGGATATTTGAATCCTTGCATAATGAATATTGCTTGTCACATCTGGTCTGGTGCTCCTGCTATATATTTAGAAATTCTTAATAAAATCCAAAGAAAAATCTGCAATGTTATACTTTCATGGTAATTGTTCTGATGAACTTTCCTCTATGGTACCTAGACGACATGAATTTAAGCACAGTACTAGGTCTCATCATTTTACAGTTGAAATGGCAAGATGCAACTGTCAGTTTTTATGCTAATAATTTCTTCTATCACATTTCACACTTGCGGAGCTCTCTTCCAGCTTCTTCCCAGTCAACTTTGATCTTCAAAAATTTAGATGCAATATCAATCGTTATCTTCTGTCTTCTTAATTATTATTCTCTGTCTTTAACAGTGTGTTTTTTTTTAACATTCTCTAACAAACAGTAACCCCCTCGTATCTTTACTTCCTTGCATGGGGGTGAAATGATTAAAAAAATGCCAATTCTGCTTTTGTTAGAGTTACAAATAAAAACTGCTATATAATTCTACTTATGCTTTATTTTGAAAAATAAAATTAAATTTATTAATGTATTTAATGCCATCTTGGATATTTGAACACATATGATAACATTTCTAATTTTATTTAAGTTACCATTAGAAATTGCTATATAAGATTACTTATGCTTCATTTTGATAAATAAAATAAAATTTATTATAAAGGATAACTGTAATGTACATCCTTGATACAGTCATTGTTTTTTTTTTTTGCTATAGTTTTATGAAATGCATTTGATATCATGTTTGTTTTTCATCAATAAGCAATTCTACAAATTAGGTTAAAACAATTACATTGGAATAGTTATATCATCATGGCAATTTATACTGCATTAATTATTATCTATTAACATATTCATTGCTACCTTGGATAATTGAATCCTTACATAATGTCACCTGTGTTTTTATTAGAATTACCATTAAAAATTGCTAGAAAAGACAATTTATGCTTTCATATAAATTGTTAAACAGAATTAAATTTATTTGCTTATTCACTACTACCACAAATATTTGAATTTTTATGTAATATTTTGATTAGAGTTAAACTGCTGTCTTCTGCAGCCAAAAATATATTGGTGTTTTGCATTAATGCTGAGAATATGATCTTATATAGCCATTTTTATAGTCTAAATCATAAATTAAAGAATTTGCATTACTGAATTTTAGAGAAGGTGTACTGAATAAATAAAATAATCTCATGGCTCCAGATTTATCCCCAAGAAAGCTCCTGCCTGTTGCATGAAAATGGATAAAGTCTGATGCATACCCTGATATTTTTAGATTAATTTTCCTATCCAGTATTATTATTAAAATGTTATTACTATAGCCATTATGTGAAGAAGCACATTTTTTTGTAAGATAGATAGATATTATTTTTTTAAATTAAATTCTCAATTTAGGCCAGTTGATATTACTTTCACTGATGTCAACTGAAACTCTTGTACTCAATGAAATAATATTTATTGTAAAAAGAAATACTCTTATATTTGCAGTAAAGATCAGATAGGTTTTTTGGAAAGCCTATGAGAAAGAAGTCATTATCAAGGATCAGAAATTAAAGCAGTTCCTATTCACAGAATAAAGCTAATATATGTGTAAAGGAAACATGTTGCTGATTGTTTTACTATAGAAATGCTTTGAAAATGAGAATTGCAGGTGGTCAGAACATTATGAATAAAATAATGTAGTTATATTTATTTATTTTTTTAACTGGTATCACCCCATGCAAGGCAGTAAAGCTACTAAGACACAAGGGGTTACAGGATGTGGAAGAATTAAGAACGGAAACATTACTATTGAGCGGAAATAGAAAAAGAATAATCAAGAGGGCAGTAGATAGCAATTGACATTGCTTTTAAATTTTTGAAGATTAAAATTGTCTGGAAAGCATGGAGCCACAAGGGAGTTCCATAGGTGAGAAATGTGAGAAAAGAAACTGTTAGTATAAAACTTACAGCTTCATTTAGCCAACTCATCTGTAAACTGACGAGATCTTGATTCCAGTCTAGTACTGCACTTAAATTAAAAAAGTCTAAGTACCATAGTGAAGAGCTCAATGAAACAATTACCATGAAAGTATTTATAGAAAAGACAAAGTGAAGCAACCTTACAATGGCAGTGAGAAAGTGACTCAAACTGAGCTGCCAGATCAGGACCAATAATATTGTTGATTCTTCTTTGGATTTTATCAAGGAGCTTAAAGTAAATAGCAGGGGCACTGGACCATATGTGGCAGCAATATTCTAAGCATGGATGAATGGTAGACTTATAGAGGAAACAAAAGTAAAATTTAGTGATAAATCCAGTCAAGAAAAGGATATTCATATGAACAACTTGTGGAATAGTAATAATAGTTACTAATCTCAGAATATGAGACATTATTGATCCTAAAATCCTTTCATTTGATTCAGATTTGGCAAAATTCACTTTTCTTTACCAGTTTTAAGAATTTTTCCAAAAATAAAACAAAATAAATGAACCTAAAATCTGACTTATGACAAGTTAAGTTCTTGCAAGTTTTAAGACTTGACTTTATGTAAGAAGAAAAAAGTTAAAGTCAACGATGTTTGGTGTTTTTATCAGATCTGAAGTGGAATGCCAATAGTTTTTTTGTTTTTTTTTTTAAATCAACCTGTAAATGCTAATGAAGAAGATGTCAAACTTATAAGGGATATTTTTACTTTTTACACCAAAGATTTTCTAAGTTCTTTTTTTGACTTTTCCTGATTTCACATTCGCTTTAAGACCCAACACAACTGAAGCAATTTCTTTTCACTCACAGCTGGATAAGATAGCAGCCTTTAATAAACGATTTGATTTCTTTGATGAATCTGAATTTTTTTCTTTTTAATCCTCATCAGAAAAATTTGACTTATGTGTACTGCGCAATCCCTAAACTTTTAGGATTTAGTCATTTACCAGATTAAAAAAAGGAAAAAGAATTTTAATCAGAAAGAAACAAGTAAAAAGCAATTACATTGCACAAAGCAAAAGGAAACATCTATCAAATTAATTACGTATTAAAATTTTCTCTACTTATGTATATATATTGTCTGAAGGTCATTTGAGGGCTGAAACTGACAATCACTTCATCAACAAATGCTCAATCTCTGATATTTAGCACTCACCTCCTATAAGTATATAAAATTTTAAACACACACACACACACACATATATATATATATATATATATATATATATATATATATATATATATATATACAGTGATAGCATCCTACCTGTTCACATGAAATGATTCTTAAAATTATAAAAGCTTAGCAAACCGGTTGTTGGATTATCCAAGAATAATCGTATAAATAGCTGATATAGAATAGCGAAAAATATAATTAATACCATTGCTGTAAGTTCTGCAGAGGATGAAAGAGGGTTTTCAGTGATGAACATAATTTATTCTGATAAAAGAAATTTCCTTGAAAAAAAATGTGGCAAATCTTCTAGTCATAAATTTGATACATCTTTCATTGGATCTTTGGGACTGCAATGATCCAGCTCAAATGTGGCTGAAGACAAGAGTCAGAAAGCATCACACTTCTGAACAGAAATATAATGAGAACAGAATTTCAATCTGGAAATATCTTAATAAATAAATGTTTTCTATTAAATTATCAAAATCATTTAATTCTTTAAATTCTTTTAATTCTTTGATTTTATAAAGTGATTTGTTTCCATCCTCAGATTGAAAAGAAAAGCAGAATAGGTTCCTAAAGATTATCTGCCTTTATGGAACCAGTTCCTGGAAATTTGAAATGCCATTATTGTATATATATATATATATATATATATATATATATATAGAGGACCGGCGCATACTACCCCCCCTATCCCCTGACTGGGGTGAGAAACCTGATTGAGGGCCTTGAGCAGTCCTTGGTGACTCATGCTATCTTATGCTTTTTCTCTACCTACATTTATATATATTACAGATTAAATTAAGCATAACTGACTATTATTCAATTTTTAACAAGAAAAATGTCTACTTGATGTTAAAATATTGCTGTAAAATATTGTTGATTTATTTATGATGGAATGATCTATTATGACATGTCTTTAATTTGCATTTAGATACATTGTATTTATTTTCACTTTTTTTAATTGAATTGTTCACCTATATTGCATATGATTCATTATTATACATAATTAGGTTATAATAAATTTTGTATTTTATACAAATACAACCTTATGTAGTATAGTTCATGGCCCTGTATCATAGATTCATGGCCCTGTATCATAGATTCATGGGGATATCATAGATTTAGGAGAGCATGAGACACTTGCATCAGCACTATATATGTATAGAGTGCAACATAAAATTTTTGCCATTTTGTATTTTTAATTATGTGCATATGCATTGTTTGTTTTTGATTTTGACGGTCATCTGCACAGTATAGATACAGGGCCTCAGTTGGGCACCATCTGTAAGAAAAAGAGCATCACAACGCAGTTCACTTTTGACAGAAATTTGGAAACAGCATACTGTATTGCTTGGCATTCATTGTCAGAAGCTCCAATATGAACATTTAAGAGTATTTGGATGTCAATCTGAGGACAGTTCAGAGAATTTAGAAAGAGTTGGATGCGTCTAATGGTGATTATGATCATGCTTGGAATGATCACTAGTTATGGCAATATTATGCCTCCATCCATCTTCCTACAGGGCCCTGGGTCAAGAGTGTGACTGTTGGAAGAACATATGTCCAACAATAGAACTCTGCACCCAGCTACGCAAGCAGGAGAACCCAGTCATGGCTGTCAGTCAATTTCTGCAACTGCATCACTCCTTACATCTGGCCACCTAAATCCC